TTTTAAACTTTTTAAAAATGAGATTATTTCATTTAAATTGAATTTTTTTCATATTAACTCAGACACTAAGCAAGTAAGGGAATTATGAGAACCAATTAAAGTTAATGATGATAGATTATTATAAAAATTGACGTTATTTATCCATCTATTTTTATAATTATAAAGAAACAAATATACTCAATATGCCAATTAAAAGTATTAAGACATTAAGCGAATATCAACAAGTGATAGCTAATTCAAGTGATAAATTGGTAATAAAATTCTATTTTATTAATCATTTATTAGTATATTGGAACAAACGATTAACTTTTTATTTTTAATTAAATAGCTTATCATGCAATTCACCGCTTCATGTAAGTATATATCTTGTTTTGATTACACTTTTAATAAGTACTGATGAAATATTAGGGTGCGGCCCATGTCGAGCTATTTCACCAAGGATTATTGAACTTTCTAATAAAAATTTACATATTGGGTTTTATAAGGTAAGTTAGAGAAAATTGATTAAAATTTCAATTTTAATTTTAATTTTAATTTTAATTTTAATTTTAATTTTAATTTTAATTTATACTTATATGATTTTATTTTTTAGATTGATTTAGATGAAGCTGGGGTAATTAGGAGTATTGAATTTAAAATAGGATGTTTTATTAATAATATAAAATAATTTAGGAAATTGCTTCTCATGAAAATGTAACTTCTATGTAAGTTTTTATTTTAATAATAATCTGCTTATTTTATTTTAAATACTAATATTTGATTTTAGCCCCACTCTCAAGGTTAAAATGATGATTGTTTAAGGATTAAATTAAGTTATTAAATATTTAAATAGATTTATAAAAATCAAGGTATGCTTGAAGAACTTTCAGGAGGTCAATGTTTACCTCGACTTGAAGAATTAGTACGTAGTCATCAATCAACAAATGATGATGCAAGTAGTAAATTTGGATTAACTGGACAGGTAAAATGATCTTTTCAGTTTTTTATATTATAAATTAATTGTTTTTATTTTTCTATTATAATAATTATTAATAATATCAATATAAAATAGTCTGATATCACTAGTTTAATTCAAAAGAATCAAATAGAATCTTTAAATTTAAGAAATGAAGATAATATTAGTAATATATTTGATAATCAAAACGATAAAGTAGTTCAAAGTGATGCAGATGAACAAATTTTAATTAATTTACAATTTTCCCAAGCAGTCAAAATTCATTCAATTAAATTCCAAGCACCTTTAAGTAAGTAACAATAATAGTAATTCTATTATTATTATTTTTAATAAATGAATTAGTATTTTTATTTTTATCTTTATTTTAGATAATGCCCCAAAAAATATTAAATTATTTAGTAATAAATATTCACTTGGATTTGATGATGTAACTTCAATGGAGCCAACTCAAGAATTAATATTAGAGTCCAAAGATTATGAAGAAAATTCAGTAACTAATTTAAGATTTGTTAAATTTCAAAATGTTAATGCACTTTCGGTAAGTTTCAATTATTTTATTAATATATTTCTATAAAAGAGTATTTTAATCATTTTTAATAATCTAGATTTTTATTGAAGACAATCTAAATGAAGATGAGATCACTTCTTTAAAGAATATAACTATTTTTGGTCAACCAGTTCATACTACTAATATGAATGATCTAAATCGTAAATAAAAATAATCAAAATTTACAAAAGCAAGTTGAATTTATTTTATGTGTCTTCATCATAAATATACCATGAACTTAATAACCTTCTATTTTTTAAATTCACTGCTGGATAATTAAATCCATAAGTAAATGGAAAGAAGAAGAAGTAGAAAAATAACACTACTATTAATATTAAAGTATGTATAATATACTTAATTTTAGCTTTAAATTTAGATAGTAATAAAGAAATAGTATAAGGTGTCAACATAATAGCGAACATTAAAGGTGGGAAATAATGGTGTAAATAAAGGACACGTCCAATTACAAAGAAAGGTATATAATGAATAAACCAACCTAAATATAATGTTTGTCCAATAAATTGAAATTGATTCCATTCACCTAATATATAATTTATATTAATTATATATTATCATTATTATTTATTACCTTTGGTCCATTCAATAATACCATATTTAAATCTAATTGAATATATAATATATAATATTGGATAAATTATTACTGAAAATGTTGATAGCCACCAAATAGATATGTTACCAATCATAAAAAATTTAATATCTTCATCTCCCCAAGAAGACATTCTAATACCTAAATAAAAATATTATTATTTATTATTATTTATTATTATTTATTATTATTTATTATTATTTATTATTATTTATTATTATTTATTATTATTTATTATTATTTATTATTATTTATTATTATATTAAGTTACCTTTAAATAATAATGGCCAATCTTTAGCTCTAGATTCAATAGGTTCATCATGATCTACACTTGGTTTAATAATACCATGAATAGACCACATAGCATGATGAATTCTATATAAATCATACCAATATCTTCTTTTAAAATAATCTTTATTAACCTTTTTAATGTTTTTATTTTCATGCTGAGAATATTCAATATTAAAATAAGTATCAATATGCTCATAATTTTTATCTTTAAAACAAACTAATTCTTGATATTCTTTATTTCTTCCAGGTAATCTTTTATCTGGATTACCTAATTTACATGAATTTTCTAAATTAATTAATTGGAATCTTGTTGTTATTGCATTAATTTTAGTTGGTTTATTATTTAATTGTCGATCATCTATTATTTTAATTTTCCATAAATAACTTTTGTCTTTATTGTTTAATTCTTTAACAATCATCTGATAGCCTTTATCTTTAGTTAAATTAGCATTAAAATTTTCATTCACTTTTAGGTATTTATTTGTTTGTTGATTATAGAATAATACAATATCATTATCTTCAATTAGGTCAACCTTGTTCTTATCTAAATTATAAATCTCATCCTTTTCATTAGTATAATCATAATCATTATTATATTTGTATATAGTCCAATAAGAATTGGGCTCATATAAATAATTTCCTGAAGCTATTTGTTCATTACTATCTTTATATGTTTCATTAAAAGTATATATCATTCTTCCTTCTAATTTACTTGCTCTTAATGTAATATTCGAATGATTCGATACATCTAGTAAAAGAATTAATAAAAAACAAAACTACTATGGAATGTATAATATATAATATATAATATATAATATATAATATATAGTATATAATATTTATATTTTTATATTAAACTTACATAAATTGATATCTGTTAAATTAGAGTTAGGTAATCTAGCTAAAAATACAGAATCCATCACATAAACATCATCACTTGGATTAGTTAAGGTTTTAAAATGAATTTCAAACGATATTAAATATACGATAATTGGCCATATAATTAATGCCCCTATACGTACTATCCAATGATATAAATATTCTTTCTAAAATTAAATAAACGAATAAATAAATAAATATTATTAATATTATTATTAATATTATTATTGTTTACCATCGTCATCTTTTTATCAAAAAACTTAGATCCTAAATCGTTAATAGTATACTATAACATAAGAAGCAGTAATTAATATTCTATAAATAAAAAGTTAAAAAATTCATTTACGATTCCAACTACACTCATTAAAAACAAAGGTACTCCCCATTTAATACTATATAAAAAATAATCAACAAACATATTTGAATATAAAACATGAATCCTTACCTATTATTTAACCCTACTGAAGTCCCTAAAGCAAATAAAGAAATCCACCATTGCTGACTAAATGGTCTAAAATAAAATAAATAATTGATATCTTTAAATATAATAATGATAACTTACTTATCTTTGTATTCATTAAACCAAGCCAAACAATAAATAGATAACAATGAAAAAAATAATAAGAAAGGATCCAATAGTATGAATTTAGATATAACAATTAAGCCATTGTCTAGAATATTAATAGATTAATTTTACTATCATAATTTAACTTAAATTCATTACTTACCAAACGTCAACAATAATCCAGTTATTAAAGCAGTTGTTTTCTCCACTCCAATTTTTCTCAAAAAGGCAAAACCCAATGGTACAATAGCTATCCCAAAAATTGCACAAAATACTCTAATACCTGTATAATTCATTCCCTCTGTATAGTTTTCATCCGATTCAAAATCAAATGTACCATCATAGCCCACTAAATAACCGCCTAATGCAATTAATAATTTCGCCAATGGTGGATGAACATCATTATAAAAATGTTTTTGAAGGTAAAAGCTGCCAAACTTTCCAAAATGCACTTCATCCCAAATTGGTCTATTGCCATAACTTACGTTGTATAATCGGGTGAGAAAAGATAAAAGGGTTAAGAAAAATAAAAGTTTAGTATCCGAAATGAAATAAAGTGGATCTGAGTTCTAAAAATAATAAGAGATTTAAGTTAATAGATAAAGTAAGTGAAAGAGTCAAACCTACCTTAGTTGAGCTTGGTTTAAAATTAAAAACTTGTTCTTTTTCCTCGATTTCATATTTTTGTTTAGAGTCATAAGTATCAATGGATTCATCTTCTTTGATAGGGGGTTTAAGTTCACTATTGCCACCCCGTTGATAAAGAATTTGATTGGGGTAAATTTCCATATTAAATTACTTTTCTTTTTCTTTTTAATGAAATAAAAAAGATAAGAAAATCAAGGATTCAAAAATTATGCCTAGGGTGGCTTATTTCCGAGTTTTTCTAATTTGATATTTTTGATTTGAAGTTTAGATATAGATTGTATTGTTCTGTTCTTCAGAACCAAAATTTGAATTGAAATGCAATTTGATAATGATAATGATTTTAGTTATAAACTTTGGTCAAAAAATTAAGAAATTAAACTATTGTTTTTTATTCAAAATGGCGGCAGTAGTATTATGCTAGGGTAGCTCAGTTAGGGGTAATATTAAGACTTATAGATTTTAAAACTTATACAGGTATTTATTTATTTGTTTTATTTACCAATTATATGGCTTAGTGGTCTAGTGGTATGATTCTCGCTTTGGGTGCGAGAGGTCCAGGGTTCAATTCCCTGCTGAGCCCTCCATAATGGAATTAATATTTTATTGAAATAATATGAATTACTTTAGATTCAATATATTTAGTTTTTTATGCCATTTTGTATTATAATGATACTATAGTTACTTTTGTTTTTATTTAAAAGTCAGATAATTTTAAACTAATAACACGTAAGATGTAGTATCAAAATTATTCATTTTAATAATATCATTATTAACTATAAGTTTAACTAAAGATATAAAATAGAACTTTCATGATTAACGATAACAATAAATAAAAAGGCAATTTTATACAATAGAAAACTAAACAGAATACTTAAAGCTAAGAACTATATTTTTTTGCTCATTTATCCAACTGATATAATTCCATATAAACATTATCAATAGCATTAAATACTATCTCAAACACAGAATAAAAAATGCTACAAAAAACTTTCACAACTACTTGAATTTCATACGATTGATATAGTCTAATTACAAATTCCCTACTTATCACTTTAACATAATGTCCAATAATAGTCAAGAAAACTACAAAAGGTGCTAATAAGAAAACAAAAAAGAGGATTGTATATGCAATATAGTTATTGATTGATTTGGTCTTTTGATAAATGAGTTTTTTGCCTTGAGATTTATTGAAGCTAGTAACAGCTTTGATACCATTGGTATTGTTGCTATTACTATCACTAGTAATATCGTGATTATTGTTATTACTAGAACTAATAACATTAGTATTACTACTATTATTATTAACACTACCATCGCCGAAGCATAAATTATTTAAACTAGCATTGATTTTATCAAAATCTGTTTTGGTGTTATTATTAGTATCTTCCAAAACAGTCGAATAAATAGATAAACTAGATGCTAATGTTCTATAAGTATTTTCTACCGATAAATATCTTGAATCTGTATTGTTATAAGCCTCCAATCGATTTTGATATAACCTAGATACATTTTCAAAATCATTAGGATTGATCCTATGTATGTAAGGATCAGGACGAGTTTCATCAAATCCAATGGTATTAATAGTTTTATTATGGTTTGGATGATTGCTAGATATAGGTACACTAAACCTGGATGAGTGGATACTATTTTGATTAATGGTGTTATTAAATGAAATGGTCTTGGTTGAGTTGATATTATTGTCATACAAGTTGATGGTATTTGTAGTATTTACATTATAATATGAAATGGTACTAGTTGGGAGAGCGTTATTACTATATGTTCTAGTGTTAATTGAGCAAGTATTATTACCACGTAATTTAGTACTAGTTGAGTGATTATTGTTTACATACAATTTAGTTTTTTCTATAGTATCATCACCAGATAGAACCATTGATGGAAAGAAAGACTCTTGACCTAGAAACAAGCTATTAAAACAATTGATGTGTAAAATTCTATATTTACTTTTAAAACATTCTGCTTGTGCACTTAGATAATCAAGGCAACTATTATTTACTATTTCAAACCCTTTCGATTCCCAGTCTATAGTAATAATAAATATATTGAATTATTTTTGGCTGTATAGAAATTCAAAAGTAGTCCTTACTGTTGAAATAATCAGCGTTTTGATTGACTTCATAAGATTTACCATTAAATTTAAGCACATTGGGTATAGTTGATTTACTATCTCTAGTACCAGAAAAGTGAAAATTTGAGTTAATAGGTTTGATACTATTCTTTGATACATTAAGTTGGTGATTATAGCTTAAAAAGTTCTTCATTTGTGAGTTTGCAAAACTACTGTTTTGTGAATTAAAAGAAGCGTTGACCTCTTCTATATTAAAATTCTAGAAAAATTAATATATCGAGTTATAAAGCTAATTTGATTTTACTTTATTATCAGTTATTTCATCTTCAGGCCTTTGATAAGTTGACTTTCCTTCATTATTACGTTTTTTTCCACAAGCTTCCACATCACTTAATCCAGTCAAAGATCTTTGAAACATTTTTGAGTTGGTATTCACTAAATCTATTATAAATAATTAGAAGATACTAATATGCTAATTTATTTTTCACATTTTATTGATTTTAAACACTAAGATTTTTCTTTGTCTTAGTTCTCTCTAATAGCTGTTGGTTAATTATATATCATTTAAATTATTAGCTAATTCATCAAATTATAAAAACTTCAGGGATGAACTGCATTAGCGAAAAAGCTATCATAATGTTTTTTATAAATTTCATGTTGCTTAAAAATAAACAAGGTACTGAATTAAAGAAATTTAAATGTGTTTTTCTATGTCAGTAGAGATGACGAACAAAAGTCAGTCTATGTTGACCATTTCTAGACTTTTAAAGTATCAATAAATATTAGAAAAGTGATCGATACAGATTCACTTTTGTCTATCATTATACTTGAGTTGAATCTTTTCAAATAATAAGATAATTAGCTGTCTAACTAACAGCGTTTTTAACTTTTTCATCTAAAAAATTAGAACAAATTATTAGACAAATTAGTTTACAAGATGTGTAAAAGCGTCTTTTTGATTCCATTTATTTTTCCTTTTTTAAACACTATTAGATGGAAAAATGTTGGTAAATTTTTTACCTAAAAGTAAATATACTTTTCTCGTTTGATATGATAATCGATTCAATTAATTCAACATCAGCATTAAAATATACAGTGTTGAGGACATATTTATTTCAAGAAGCTGCATCATAATCTTAAAGTAAAAGTAGATTTCTTAAATAGAAAGGTAGAAGATTCTGTCAAAATGGTAAATGCTTTACACACTACATGACTTAAGTAAATTACAAAGCGATTGTTATTTTTTTCTTGAAATAGCTTTAGAACTTTGAGTGGTTTATAAATAAATAAATAAAAATAAATAAGAAGATGATTGAAAGATGCCATAACTTTAAGATTTCTCTCCTACTATGATTCCTGGATAACCAGGTTCTAGAAAACTCAAAGTTATTTACGCACATTACTTTACATCCAATATACAAAAAACTAGGTATTAAATATTATTAACTTCAAATTAAAAAATTGGCAGAGTTTATTTAATAGATAATTTCATCAAACGATAATTTAATGAACTAGATAGTATACTATGATAAATAAAATAAAATGTTAACCAAAGTAGTTTAATCTATAACATGTTTTCAAGTATCACGATTTTTTTTTAAATTTATTACATTTGATTTAAAGTTACGATAAACAGAAATTAAAATTCAACTATAAATTCTACGTAGAATTCTTACAAGAAAACTGTTTTTTTCCACTCAATTCTAATCCAATTTAGGAAACTTGAAATATGCTGTTATTAATAATAGTAAAATTTAAAAACTGCAATTATTATTATAAATTAATAATTACTGTTATAATAAAATAGCAAATAAACCCTTTATGATAAAATAAAGCTAAGCGATACTCATGAAAATTATATTAAATATATTTAAATTTCCGACTTAAAAATGAGGTAAACTAAATAAAAAATTTATCAAAAAATGTATCAAAAAATGGGCAGTTGTAAAAAAATTAAACTTAATTACTCAACCTATATAAATAGAGGTTTGTTAACTCCAATAAAAATTAAATTTTATCATGTTTCTATTCTATTCATATCTAGCATTAACTCATTTATCTTTACTTATCACTTCAGCCACCCTAAACTCCACTTCCATTGATTCAGTGGAGCAGCAGGGTTGTATGCCATGGAGAGAAGATTTCAATGGTGGTATGGGTCAATTTATTCCTGAAGGCCAAGCTAGTGTAGTTAATGGCAAATTAGTAATGAAGATTTCCTTGGGTAATACCCCTAACCCAACTACGGGAGTAATAATGGGGTATGGATCAAAAGTAACTTCTTCTAATAAAGTATTATATGGTACCACAACCGCTCGTATTAAGACAAGTCGAATGGGTGGAGTAGTAAATGCATTTATCTTAATGTCACCAGAAAAGGATGAAATTGATTGGGAATGGGTAGGAAAAAACGAATATTCTTCCCAAACGAATTATTATTATAAAGGTATTTTAGATTATACTAAAGGTAATTATATTACCAATGGATTTAATACCCATGCTGATTTTCATGATTATTCTGTCAAGTGGACACCAACTGAAATCACCTGGATGATAGATGGAGCACCTGTAAGAACTTTAACTAAGTCTATGGCAGGTGATAATTTCCCTAATACTGCATGTAATATTTATTTTTCTTTATGGGATGGTGGTAGTAATGCAGCTGGTACTCGTGATTGGGCTGGTGGCTTGGTTAATTGGAATGATCCAGAATACACTAGAAATGGGTATATGTCTTCAGAAGTGGAGTATGTTTCTTATACTTGTTAATATGCCTCATTCATCATCTTAAATATTTTTAATAAACAATTAATAATTTATGTCTTATTTTTTATGGCTCTTCATTATGTTTAATCTAATAGTATTAATAAAACTGGTTGCATTTGGATGCCTTAGATTTATTTTAATTTGTCGTGACATTTATAGTGAATGTATTAATAAAGTACTTTATATAATTTGTAAATTTAATCTAAAAAGATTAACAATAAATTAAAGCTAAGACATCTAAATATAACCAGCTCTAATAAGTGAATTTTTTTAGCTCCTATTTATCATAAAATTTATAAATTGGTAGATTAAGAGATATAGAATATTAGTAGTTGCTTTTATATTTGTTTTATTGATAAATTAATAGTAAGTTATATTAATTTTTCTATGAGCATATAGTTTATTATATTCAACTTAACAAGCTGCTGTACTACTGTATATTTCAATGCTTACATACTGAATGTATGTCTAAGGTGGTGTTTATGAATTCTATGAAAAATAATGAGTGGGATAAAAAAAATAAGAAGGCAGTTTAGTTGTATTTACATTTACAGCTTTGAAAATTATTATTAAAAAAGTCAAAATAATTGTATTTATTAACTGCAAAATATTACATGATGGGAGTTTGTAGCAAAGTGGTAAGTGTTGGTCGCATAGAAAACTAATTGAAACAACAAACAAAAAGTAAGTTTACAAAAAGGTGCGCAGAATTAACTTATTTTACAATA